ACAAGCGCCTCAAGACAGACTTTTAAAACAAAAAAGACTTATCGACCTGGATGGAAAAGTTGAAGCACATTTTACAGAAGACATTTGAGGGGGAAACATTTGAACAACTGGATCTAGAGGTTTGAAAGGACAGTATTTTTTTTTTATAGATTTGTCCTCGAATCTGTTCAATTTTCTTTCCAGAACTGAAGACCTCTAAGATGTTAAAATATATTTTTCATTCCAATTTCTCTTCTAACCCTGCTTCTTAATAAGGTGGGAGGCAGTTTTAAACTAATCTCTACCTCAAATACGAAGGATTCATGTAGAGCTCAGAAAAAAAACATTAAACCAATGAGGCATACTAGGAACTTTAATTAAGGCGTTATTTCGTGTTGTTTGTAACGTTGTCAAGCAAGTTCTTTAACAGTCATTTTTCAAAGAGCTGTGGATTTATTTTTTTATGCTTTACCTTATTTGCATTAATAATGTAATTCATATCTGCTATTTTATCATCCTAATCAAATGGTAAGGTTTTAGCACTGGGATGTTTTTTTCCTCCTAACCTACTCCACATCACATCTAAAAATACTCTGCTGTGTTCCATCCTGATTATCTCATCAAACGATTGATCGGTGCTGCTGCTTCTGAGTTGTTGCGGTAATGGCAGCTCTGGATGGACTGAAGACACATCTCTACATGATTTGCACAAAGAATAAAAAGTCCACACACGCCTACGCAGGCAGGCAGGCGAGTGGGCCTGTGTTTAAATTGTGAGATAATCAGCGAAGATAAAATGGGCATCCATCAACAGCGAGTTGAGCCTGTGCTGTAAAATCTGCACAATCAGATCACTGCCGCTTCCCCCAAACGCTGCTGTTGAGCTATAGAGCCAATCTGCCTGATGTGGCTCTGGAAACAGAATTCTGGCAGCTTGAGCTCTGCATCACCATTCATACCCAGAAATAGCCTGCAGTGTGCATCACAAAACCAGAGTCAGGAGCTCTTTTTTCTTTATGGAATCGGGTTCAACTTGGCACTGCATTGTTACATTTTGATCAGTTCATAATTCTGGCCAAACATGTGTCCCTGAGGAAGGGAATGTAATAAGGTGCGCCTGACTAGATCAATTTAGTAATTTGACTGATATCTAATTATTTAAATCATACATATTCATTAGAGTTTCTCTCGATGAAAACATTTTTGAGCCCTGCAATAAAAAGGTATTTATTATCTTTAGGAGCTAAACATGATAGCAATTAGGCTCACTTTCACATAACGAACAAAATTGAACTGATCTTGTAGTAAATAAGATTATTTTGTCAGACTTCAACAAGAGCTGTTTTTATCCCCTTCTCCTGCCTTTATTTTATTTCTCCTCTAGGACACCAGAGGCTTGTGGCTGACATATTGTTGATGGATGACAGCTCACAGCACTTGTGCCAAGGTTCATGGCAGCTTGGATAAGTCCAGGCTCTCAGTGATCAGAGCAGTTGCACCACTATGTGAGGCTGCACTGCCCATAGATTATCCAACACTGAGGTGGGGGAGAGACCTGAAGAAATGTAGAGGGAGATAATCAACTTTATATACAGCCTCCAGAGCGAAGGATCAGTGACTGTCTCTGCTCCACCAAAAACAGACGTTTTTTTTCTATACCACAGACAGCAAGCTGTTATATTAAGGTGTGACCACAAAAGTAGTGCTTTTTCGTTTTTTTGTTTTCATGCTACATCTTTTCAAGGGAACTTACATTTACCATGACAAAACTGCTCCCTGACCTTTTATTTACATTGCTCTATAAGTTCAAAATATTACAGATCCTTATCATGCAATACTCTCAAGTACTGTCACGTTTATTTGACACATCTCTGTAGAACCAGATCAGACAGTCAATTTGGCAGTTTGAATACATGTCAGGAGAAGTAAAGACATTTAGATCCTTTACATTTTCTTGTCCTATCTGTTGGTAAAGAGCTGAATGGAATTCGTAAAAAAAAAATCCTCTTAACAACTCAGAGGCAGCAATTAGTGTAAAGGAACTTAGTTACATTCTTTTGGGAAAGAGAATCTTCTTTAAACCTTGGGTTTGAAGTGACCAAGCCAGTACAGTGTGTAAGCTGTTGTAATGAGGAATCCTTCTCAGGTTTCTGTAAAACAATGTAAGGAAACCCGGGCAAATATTTTTTGTGGGATTGTGTCACTTGTCGGAACCAAGCTGTATTAACAACTACGGTACATTGATTGATACTATTTTCCATGGAACTCACAATGTATTTCACTGCTGAAAGAATTTCTCATGGTAAGAATGTTCCTCACCAACATTTGTCGAAAGCATGAGCCTGAATACATGAAAGCACCAAGATTATGAAAATTGCAGGTTAAGTACAACATCATATTTCTAACATGAAAAAAAATCACAGAAGATGTAGTAAGATCACAGATTCTGTTGATCCTTTTGAAATTGATTCCCTTTTCTCTGCACAATCTAGATACCTCTGTGCGGTGACACAGTCAGGACTTAGTCAGTAGTGATTTGGTTGTAGATGTAGATCAGTATGTCTTAACTTAAACTTGACAAATGCTAAAGTATTGAATTGAATCAAAGTGGTATGTAGGGTCTTCAACTAGTCGCTATGTGACAATATCCTTGTTTGAAGGAAAAAAACAGCTTGTGAAACAGTGTTATTTGGGGTTTCTTCAGTTAAATGGGAGCAACCTTGAAGTTTGCTTAAAAGTGTATAAAGGAACTCTTTAAAAGATATCTCTGGTTGTGTTTTTACTTAAAGTCAGCGTTAAGTGGCATAACAAACCATAACAATTATTATCTGTTCCTGGTCATGTACAGGAATGTTACTAAAAATAAGCAAAACTTGCAGTATTTTGCATCTGCAAAAGGTTCCAGAAGTCTTCCTTACTATCTACTTTTCTTCATTTGTCAGAAAATTAAAAATTAATTAAAAAATTAACAGTGGTTAGTGTTATAATTTATTGGTTGATTTATCAAGATATATGTAATGGTGCCTCATATTCTCAAATACATGAATGAAAAAGTAGATTAAACGCGTGTACATGAGTTTAGAGTTTCATTGTAAAATCTTTTTTTTTTAACAAAATTTTATTTAAATTAAATTATTACTTAAATTTCAACATTGATCATTGAACCAACCAATAAACTATCACTTCTGTGCATAATCTGATTCTTTCAGTCACCAGACAAAGCTTGTGATCATAACTAAATGATGCTTTGTCATTTACAAGTTAACAAAACCACATCATCTGCAAAGAGAAGAAACGCCATACACCCTCCTCTCCTTGACTTTACATCCAGATTCTGTCCATAAACACTGAAAAGAGTTGCATTGTTCAAATGAATTCAACATGTATTGCAAATACGTGGCCTTTCATAGGTTCATAGAAGAATAACAGAATCCTGAGTAGGCACCCCCTAGAGGACACCAACAAGGGAATCCAAGACGCTTGGTTGCTAAAAACGAATTCCTTTTGTTGCTTTCCATCCTGCAAATCACACACCGGGCGTCAGCCTTTCAATCACCAGGGAGAAGTCAAACACTGATGCCCTAAGCATGAGTTTACGAGCATTCCCGCATCACACCTGATGGCTCTCTCCCTGAGGTATGAGCCAGCACTTCAGAGCCCACACAATGCAGGGAGGTAAGTCGTACCATGTCTGGTCAGTACCACTCAGACTCACACATAAACCCAGGTATGCTTCCTTGTCCGCAATGTGACGTTCCACATCACATGAGTCCAAGCTCCAGACCAGATTTTCTTCCCCCCGCCAGATTGCAATGAATGTTTTTGTCTCTTTTATCATTATTGATTCCTCACAAAGTTTTTTTAAGCAAGATTCTGCACTAAAGACCTCTTCAAAAAAATAAAATAACATTTAATAATCAATGCACATTGCTGAATTAAAAAAAACATTAATCATCAACCGTATTTGAACAGATCACATCATGTATAACATTAGATTGAGACATACTTTATTAGATGATAAACATCAGATCTGATGTCTCAGGCTCTGTGGCCATATAATTTTTTGTCAAGCTGCTGTCTAAAAATAGAATGCAAGAGCTTCCTTTGCTCTTAAAAGATACAGATGCCATTCTTATTTGAAGATTGTTGCAGAGGATTTCAACACTTCTAACAGAATAAAATAAAGGAGAATTTTTTTGTGTATAAACATTTCTGGATTAATGACCTAGTTTGATTATCTAAACTGCTTAAAACAAGGTATCTTTTTGCTCATCACCCAAACTTTAGGTGAATCCTACAAGGAGCATCATGAATGTAGCTCAGTAGGAAGCTTTCACATAAGCAGGTGAAGGATTAAAGTAGAAAACATGCGAGTAATGAGATACGTGAAAATCGAAAGCAACAGCCAAATGCATGTGGATATGAAGTGCTAAGCTGCAAGTTTGTTTTTCGGTTGCTTATTAACCAAGGGCACCTGCTATGATAGCACCATGTGAGCGGACACAGCAACTCCTGATACTTAAACATGAAAATATTTCCTGGGAGAATGCTGCTTTATGCTTTAATGAGAAACTGCAAGGGTTGGCTCTCATTTTGATCATTAGGAAGTGCTCCTGGTGAACTGGAGACAGTGATGGATGGGTTCTTCTGCCCCCTGGTGTTGTACCACTGATGCCTTCACAAAGAAGTTGTACACCTACTTACATTTTGTTGCATATTTGTCAGTATCACTAAGCATTACTTATCTGCTGACTCATTAACCATAGGCTGACTTTTCTGGGAAATTCTTTATGACTACTGCGTGGCTTTCTTTTTTTGGTCCACACAATTTTTGTTCTCATATCAAAAAGGGTTCAGGGGGAGCCATGCAACATTATCAGCATGTAAGCAAAAATAGAAATAATTGTGAAGAAGCATGTGTGGAAGCCGGAGATAAATATAGTTAATTACGCTTTTTTCCCCCCAGTTATTCGCGTTGAATGTGCACAGTTGATTGCAGACAAGGATACTATAAAGACAATTTAAAGCTTCAATGAAATTCTTTATTTTTTGGAAAAACAATCTGTGGACACAAAAAGGATGGCATTTCAGAGAAACTTACAACAAGTCACAACCTGAGCTATAAAATGGAGAAAAACTCCAAAAGTTTTAACAAGATTAGCTTCCAGTGTGCCTGCAAACACTGCCTACTCGTCAAGGAGGAATAATAAATAAAAATAAATAAGAAAAACAAAATAAAATAAAACCTCTCATTCTCAAGTCAGAAAATGTTTTAAAATGCTGTAGACATGTAAATCATAGTGAGGTTCAACCTATCAAATATGAACAAGATAAATCCACTGACTGACTTCAGTTTATTTAGAAAATATGCATCTATAATCTTGAAACAAGATTTCAGTTACTCAGCAGTGTGCAGTTATTTTTGTTCTGATTCTCCTCTGAATCAAAGAGAACTTGACAATTTGAGTTTCAGACAGTGGTTAAAATCCTTTGCCTATACACATTGAGGTTTTTCCCTGTGTAAATCAGATCTCCCACTTTTTATACCCAATCCTGGCACCCTTCATCACAATTTAATGGGCTGTATGTTCCACAATACTGTTACAGTTTGTGCTTTACTTATCCAGAGAGCCAAGAAAATAAAATAAAGATGTTGGCCATTCTTTTTTTTTGTAAGACAGACAGAACAATTTCCCTCTCACTTTAAGAGCCCACACATAATTTTCATTAAGAATGTAAGACCATTCTTTTTTTTTTTTATTCTATTTAGCTAATGTTATAATAGTTGTCTGGGGCTAACTTTATTGATGTATGCTAATGTGATCAGACTTAACAAGGCTGCAGTGTAAATCTTGACTTTTCAGTAGTTCTATAAAAATTTTTTAATATAGATTTTTATGTTCCAATACCAAAAAATTGCTGTGTAAGCAAAAGTGAATTTCTCTGGACTAGTTACTATTAATTAAAGGTTCCAACATGTCTTTGTTTGTGAAAGTATAAAAATCAGAAAGCTTATAAAGACAAAAAGTAATTTCTGAAAGATGTGCATTTGGTACATCTCACATCAAAGTTAAGAATATGAACTTGCACTGACTGTATTTTAGGTTTGATAGTATTCTTCTATCAGGGAACCAACTGAAATGCATCTCTAATCTGTTACATACGCATTATGCCATTGTTTATGTTGCTTATGGGAATTAAGTGAATATTTGGTTTTCCAAGTCTCACATATGATTTATAAATTAATAACCTGCACACTTATTTTACATTAGAACATTTTTGCACAAATCCACCAAAATTCTTTTAGACCACATATATAAACAATCCCAGAAAGTCGATAAAAACCTTTGAGTCAGAAAGTTCCTTAAATTTTAACTTGCTCAAGTATCCAAAGCCTAATATCTTATCAGTGCCAAATGAGCCCAACTGCTATCCAAAAACGTACACACACACACACACCACTGACTATACTGAGCGTCAACTGTGTCTTAAACCATGGCTTAAAAAATAAATCTGCTATGTCATGCTATGTTTTGGTACCATCAGTAAGAGACTACAATAAAATAAAAAGAAATGGGACTGAATGGCACAAATAAGGTAACAGGTTGCTTTATTTTCACTATTTTCACATTTTTTACTTCCAATTGAAACATATAAACATTATCCTAGCATAATCTTGGAGAAATGTTACTGTCTGTTTTAATCATGTTGTGATTAAATCCAGCATGATATCATATGCAGCAAAATTCAGAGGTCTGCAACTAACATTCATCTAAAAACAGGGGTGTATTTTTATTCAAACATTTCTCTCTTTCAGACTATTTTTTATTTTTTTAATAGAGCCTGTCAGAAAGAATACCCTCGTTCCCCAGAATATGTCGATCTTTGTAATTTTATTGAAAAACAATTTTAGACTTAGTCATAACCATTTTGCAACCTTTTTAAATCATAATTCATCATTTAACAAACAACTATATCAGTGGCTATAGCTAATAATGTGCTAAAGTTTTGTTATAACATGTTGTGTTTACATATTCTGAAGGTAACCATCAAAGTCCGGACAACCACAATCATGATCATCTTCCTCTAATCAATTTTTGTTGCGTCATGTCAGAAGTTAAAAAAAGTTCTCAAATATTGTTCTTTATCTAAAGCATGACATTTTTCCATCTTCCGAAAGGGACCCTTTTGTGGTTTCTACTCTGATGTGGAAAAACTTTTATGAGTGGATTATCGGAATGGTAGCCATTAGAGGCTTGGTCGAGCAGTTGGGAAATTTTGATAGAAGTGTCCAAACTGATAATCCAGTGAGGTACATTAACAGTCAATGGTAATAGAAAACATTTCAAACTCATGCATTAGATCACTTTCAAATCTCAAAGATATCTGATCGATAAATGTGTAATTCTGGCATCTTTTCCTTCTGCATCTAGAATTGAAAAATGGTTTTAAAAAATATGTGCATTGGAAATTTTAAGCTATACAACTAATGGTCACAGAGAAAAAGAAATTGCATAAATCACACAACATAACAGCAGGATTTAAACTAAAGCACAGCTATAATACAGGATATATATACAGCAGAAAATAAATTAAAAAACAAGACATATTTTTTCTATCCACACTTGCCGCAAGGCTGTGTGGATGTCTTCAGACTTATATTTCTACAACTGCTGGATGGATTGCAAAACTGTGTGCTGAAAAAACAAAACACAAAAAAAAAAACAGTGGACTGTGCTTAAATCACTTCGAGCACTACTGAACGTATCTTTTCATGACGGCCCGGAATACAAAGAACAGAAAAGGCGAAGTAATCAGCAAAAGTGTTACTCGGCTGGAAACAAACATATCAAATATTTACACTCTTTTCTCTTAAAATATAAACATCACTGGTGCATTAGCAATTATGGAGCAAATCCAAACCACCATTGCGCTATTTACATGTAAGTAGGCACAGCATAGTGTCTGCAAATGTGATGCAAGTTCTATGATGGGGGTTAGTTTGGCTCTCAGGGGCCAAGTCAAGAGAAGATGGTTTCAGTTAAGGTTTGACGGAATTAAATTGTCTTTAAAAATATAAAGTTTGAGTGAACCGTCTTTAAAACAGCGTCTGTGTTACACAAGATAAAATGACTGATGTGAAAGACCAGCCCTCTCATTTAGCTTCAGGATCAGCAAGGATTCAGGGGAAGCTACAAAGAAAGAAATCAAATTCTACTCTAAATTCCCCCAGATCTCAGCCCCAGGTTGCAAGAAAACATGACCCTTCCCCACTGCTCCACTGGGATAAGGCAGTGTGTGAATGTCAGTTGAAGAACACTTTGCTTTGAATAGGCATAGAGGATAACACAGTACTGCAGAGGTTTTGACCAACATCTGGAAAATGGGGAAAGAGCTGATTGATACCTTAACTTAGGGGGACCCAGCAGGTTCCTTGGTCAAACAATCACACTCAGAAATTCATTGATTGCTTTGAGACCACCCAGCAGATACATATGGCAAACTTTGGTGCTTTAACTGAAAGTAATAATCAGACTTCACATTCTAAATGCAGTTCCCAGTAAGTGGCCTCACCTACATCAGTCAAGCTCTAAAATTTAACCTTTAAAAAAGACCATTATTTTCAGAATATTTCACTTTTTCAAAGCTGATTTTCAGAAAAAAGGCTATTCTGTTTAATACGATATCACATATTTTTCCTGATACAGAAAAAAACTATTAGAACAGTTTTTTTGTTTTGCTTTCATTCAAATTCATTGACTTAACATAAAGCTGCATGGCAGCATTATTATTCATCCTTCATATGACAGAAAACAAGTATGGATATAAACAAAACCATACGAAAGATACATATGAATGGTGGATCTATGGAGCAACTAAATAGAAAAAAAGAAGAGAAAAGGTTTACATTCACTGTTGGAACAAACAAACTGTCATTATCTTTGAAGTTATGAATTAAAGACCTCCAGCACATCTGTACCTCATCTTTATATCTCTCAGTACATTTACAGAGCATAATAATGAACACATTACTGTGCAATATTAATGCATATTGAAATGTTAAGTTTGAAAGAAATTGTACAAAATCCTTGTCTGCCCATGATACGTGAACTTTCCTAAACTCAACTTTGGACATAACTGGTTCCATCATTAAACAGAAAAAAGACAGACATAAAAACATGAAAAGGAACTAAAGTTCAGTTTCACCTAACTAACTTTCCTTCATGTACAGCTGCTGCATGTGTAAAATGAATATTCTGTCTATATGATCTGCTGTCATTCCAGTAACTGAATTTTTTTTCAAAACAACTGTTTTATTGGTTTAAAGGAGGAAAAACTAATAAATTAGAGAACAGCCACAGTGTAGCAACTACACTTAGCACCTGGAACAGATTCTGGCTCAAGCTCCAAACTTGAAATCTCTTTGAGAACTTTAAGCAACAATGACGGATAACAACTTACGATATCCTTGAAAAGCCTGTCATTTTGAAAAAGAGAGTGCTTATATTTACATTAGCCTGTTGCTGATTTGTTTTTTATGCACATTTACAAGATGTCGGTAATAAAATGTGAATGTTAAACATTAAGCCTCTTTGCAGATTTGATGTAAAAATCCCAGATAATGAAAATTATGAAAATAATTCATAATTCAACAAAAATGAAGAACGGTATCCTTACAATACAGCAGAGTTAACTGACCTTAATCCAAAGAATTAAGAAGTGTTACATTTGTGTTCCTTATTTGGGTCTTTGTCAAAGAGTGTTTTAGATTGTTTAGGTTGAAAACAGAAGTGTAGCCTGTTACTTTGTTCCTATTTAGTCTGATGGCAAATCCAGATAAGAGCTTTTGATAAAATCATATCTTGTTTAGGAGGAAAAGATGCTTTAACAGACTGTACACAAATTAAAGGATAGGCCGTGATACGGTAACTTTTACTATATACAAGATGGCTTTAAATCATGTTCAGTATTAGGAATACCCTGCGTTTAACATTACAGGGATATAACATTTTAATATAAACAAAAAATTAAGGGTTAAGGGGGAAAAAATACAGAATTAGTCCAATCACACAAGTCACAAAGTGTACCAGCCAGCCTGATCAGTTTTTCATAGTCTTTATCTAGAGGCCAGCTCTGTCACATTCTGTGTAGGAAAAACAGCAAAAACAACAAGAACAAAAAAGTAAAAAATAATAACAAAAGTGGAACTTCTCCCCATATCAAAGTCCAGCTGAACAGCACAGATCTGCCACACTGGTTCAAACAGCGGTCACAAGCTTGGATGGTGGCTCAGAGAGACACTAGACTGTGTGGGTCAGTTTTTAAAGACATCTCCTGTACTGTGACATCACTTAGGCGGAGAGGGCCAAATGGGAAGAGGATGGGCCTCTGTGTTGAAGATGTACTTGTCTAGACTTAGTAGCTCCATGTCATCAGAAAAGAGCAGGTACAAGTATTTCAGTGTCTCACCAAGGAAGAAACTCTCCATCTTATCCCGGGGCAAAGGGTTGACTGGGTCACGGACATTGTTAATGGATGTGTAGCCGCCATCAGGAACCTGCAATAGTGGACAAATTTGCTTTAGAAATTAATGCCCCCATTGCAAAGCCAGCAAAGCGTTTCTCCTGTTTCACAGAAACTCTATGACTGGAAAAAAATATTTTACAGACAGGATTTGACATATTTCATTCTTTGGTCTTTTTAATCAAAATGTAACATACTTATTAGACTGGTTTTTAGGCAGCCGTTTGTACCTTTGTGTACTTATTGAAGCTCTTCAGTATGTCCCAGCCCCAGTCTCTGTACTTGGTGTCCTTGGTGAATCTGTACATGTAAAATAAACTCTCCACTGTTTCCGGTCTCAGCAGGTTGTGTCTGTCTGCAGGCTGGAGGATAACGATTGGCATTTTAGTTTGACCTTTATTATAACAAGGCAGTGACACAAAAATTGAAAAGGACATTCTAAAGACAACTTATCATGAAGGCAGCATTGAGATAAAATAAAAATGTACAAGAGCATGCAGACTCAATCACTATAAAAACATAGACTGGTGATTTCTCTCATCAATCTACGTGGGGAAAAGGTAAACAGAAGTTTTTCTAATCCAGATAAAGTATGTGGGGCTCAACAAGGACTTTTGCATGATGAACGCTATGATGGTACAATGAGGGCAACTGTTTATCCTGAAATGACATCACATCATCGGATTATATTTTTGTCACAGTTGTGATCCTGACAAAATGGTTAGCTCACCATGGCTTTTGAAAAAAAATGAAAAGATGAAAAAACTTATAAAAAATGTCCTCCTCAGTTGGTACCTTTATGAGAGGGAAAAAACATTGATGGACATGGGGTCCAAAAATATGACTAAAAACTACGACTTAATATGACTAAAAAAGAATTAGAATGATCCTGATGTATTACATTTTCCTTATACAAAAGTTGTTGCTCAAAAGTTGCAGAATAATCTTATTGAAGCCTCATTACAACCAAGTGTTTAGCCACATAGAATTTGAAAAAAACACTTTACTTGATAATGATCTAATTTAAGAGGCCTGGCATTTGGTGGGATCTGCGTTCCTGGTGTGCGCTCTACCCGGAACACCAGCTCGTTTTGCACTGAACCATTCCAAAAGCACTTTATTGCCCACTTCCTTTAATGAAAATCCCATCTGAACATGGATCCAGGACCGGGCCGTTTCAGTGAGGTATAGAACGGGATCAGTTTTATGTTAGTTGAGAGTCTGTTATGTAATATGGTCTACTGAGAATCCACAGCATTTTTAGGAAAGAAGCTAGTTCAAGTCATGGGTCAAACCCTATAAAGAAGAAAACAAATTACCATTATATTAATTTTCTTCCTTGAACACTGAACTCAAGTCAAATTGTTTTAAGTATGTACCATCAATAAAGTGATGGGCAAATCTGGACAAGACTGAATTTGATTAAAATAATTATTTCATCCTCTGTTTTCAGCTAGTTTTCGCTTCTTAACAGCTGTCTGGCAGCAAGTTGTATGAAGTAATGGATTTAAAAAGAAAACCTTGGAGTAATGTGTGAGCCCAATGGGTATCTAATAGTACCTACTAGTATCTACATGCATCTACACACCTTGCTACAACTTGGTTCAGGTAATTTTCTATTAAAAATGAGTTTGTAACAGAAAGATGGGCTGATTTGCCCATGATGTCATTTATGTGCGACACAAGTATGAGACAACAATTAACTACATTGCGGGAACGACAAACCAGCCAAACCTCAGTGTCGGGGTGTGCTGTTGGTCTGTTTATTAGGTATTAACAGTGTTGAAGATAACAGAAATAATAAAACTAAACTTTGGTTGATGCTTGTTATTTTTTTATTTTATTTTATTATTTTTATTTTTTTCTAAATGGGCAGGGTTCGAGTCATGCGACTCCCTGGTCACTCAGCACCCAGCAATCTTGCATCTGTATGCTAAAATTGCAACTATTGGGAGGTGCCGGCCCCTAATGGAATTTTAAAAAAATACAAACAAAGAAAAGCTATAGAGCCTACGCAAGCTGTGTTGAAATCTTCCGTGTGAGGTGAGAAGTGAGAACGCATTGGCCAAAATGTCCCAGAGACCAACATTGCTATATTTGTTTTTCTAAAAGCAAAATAAAAAGCCAATCAAACAGTCATCATCAACTCTACTTGTCACTATCCTCTGCAGTTTCTTTTCTTTTAAACAAACTAACTATAAGAGTAGTTTGAGTCTGTAATCAGGGCGACCAACTTTCATTTTGTTCCAAAATATTGGGAGATTTGGTACCATTAGGAAGAGGGAGTTTTTCCTCCACAATATAACCCTGAGCTTAGTGAAGGAGACACTATCCGGTTTATTTGTGTTTGAATTAATCTTATCTACTCGGAAATGTCAATAAAGGTCTGATTTTTATATAGTGAGCCTAAGAAAGGGATACTACACAAAGCTACATGAAAAAGAGTTCACAGACATTATGCCCGTATAAATTAAACCTTATCAGGTAGGTTGGTTTATTCTGAATTAGCCAATCAGAGAAACTAATAAAACTCTTTAAGAGTCACCCTTGGCTTTCATAATCACTATTCACAGAAATTGAATGAGCTCTTATATTGTTTATAATCTGTATTAGTTAATGACGGCAGAACACAGCACACTATGAAAAACTTGGAGCTGTTAACGCAAAGGGAAAGGAGTCCTGAGGAGGGTTAGAAGGGTAATGGCCAGTATTTTCACAACAAATGTAGACTGACTCTTTAAAACGTATTTAATCAGCTTTTTTTTAAAACATCTCCAGTGTGCCTTTACTGATTCTTGTTACTGTAAGAGGGGGTTTTGGGGGGGGGGGATTTGCAAGAGATAAAAAGCATCTTTTAGACAGATTGGTTCTTTATTACTGTATGTAAAAGAGTTCAAAACTATTAAATATAGAAATAGGGAAAAAATTACACTAAAAGACCAAATTACAACTGCTCTCAGTCTCACCTTGACAACGACATCATGGCCGTCACTGGACTGCAGGCTGAAGTGTGCAATCTCTGGACTTAGGCCAGTCTCCATCTGTTTGTACATCTGGTGACAAGTCTCCATCAGCTGAACAGCCAGATCCATGTGGTCCCCTGGGAGACCGTTGTGAGCCCCCAGAGCCAAAGTTCCTGGCAGAAAACACACCAGGTGATCCTACAGCGCACAGAGAGAGAGAGAGAGAGAGAGAGAAAAATAAAAAATGATGAGACGGACATATGATGACAGATAATGATGTGAGCAGGAATTGATCAGCCTTGACTGGTAACGAGGGTGACTAACTGCATATAACAACTGCAGATTCGACAAACGCACAAAGACTGATTGATTTAACAAGGAGGCCTTTGTTTGCTGCCAATTGAAAGTGGCGATGTGCAAAATAGCATTGATGTCTTGTGTAAAATACAAGAGTTGAGTGACTACTCATGGTGGTTACTTTAGATCCCCCCTTACATAAAAAGGATATAAAAGATTTTCTGCATCTGTACCATTTTAGGGTTGAAACGGTTGTGTGACAGCTCTCCGACAAAGGTTAACCTGCTGGGCCCCGTCTGTCTTACAAGGTGCTTTTTCACTCCCTCTATTGCCTGAAGGTAGTCCTCCAACAAACTGTGCGAAAAACACACATAAAGGTGAAGTATTATTTTGTTAGTGATGAGTTGGTGTAAACACAGCTTAAAGTCTCAACAAATCCTGATCACGCATTTCACAAAACTGGTCGAAGGTTTCTGACACGCAATACAGTTTTGATTATTTTCAAGCATCCAGTCAGAAAGAGGGTTAATTATACAGCTTGGGGTTCTACAACATATGCCCAGATCAAAATGTACTGAAGACGATGTGGGTTTAAAAAAAAAAAAAAAAAAGAGAAACAGCAGTTTAACAATTTTTTCAAAATGACTGGAGAAAGTTTACATTTAGACTCTATAGGCTTTCCTTCAATGGAAAATACATACAATATTAGAGCTATGACATGATCCCACAAAACAGCAGTACACAGACTACAAGTATTTTGCCATATTCGCTATACTTGGAATTTGCAATCAGTCGTGAGTGGCGTAATGCCATAGGAGACCAAATCTTTTCAGAACATAACTGAAATAAAGGTGTTTAGATGAGTACGATTGGAAAGTGAACGTCTTACTGTTTGATAAAGACTTATCAAACTATACATTTAATTGGCTGAATTACTGATTTATGTTCCAATTTGTTGTCTTTCATTTTTTAAAAATACTTTTATTCTAATTGTTTGCAAAAAATACAGTTGTGCAATGTCTACCATGTACCACATCTTTACTTTAGTTGGTTCCACATCTGACTCGAGTGAGCTAAAGTTTTCTCTTTACAAGAACTTTTTTTTTTTTTTTAATTGTTAGAAGGTGATTTAATCACAGTGTAAATAAAAAAAAACAGGTTTATTCATGGTAATCAGGGAAACTTTTATGTCTTTTTTTGTATTTCAAGTCACAAAGTGAGTCTTTCTTTTTGCCTGTTTTAATGCTTTTGATCATGTATTTCAGAAAAAGTTTTGTTAAGATATAAAACCCCTCTTACGTGTCTTCCGTCTTGCCTCCCTGAATCCATTGTTTCAGGAGGTATTCATAGTAACTGTCTGCCCTGGCACCAAGCGTGAAGACTCCTTTGTGGGTGAACTGGCCACTGTTGGTGTTGATGAACATTGGCACCAAGCCATCATGCTTGCCAGGCAGGTCGTGGACAAGCCTCATTACCTCATTTGCAACATCCTGGAAAAGTCAAGAGAGAAAGATGATATCAAGACACTCAGCATTTAACCTACAAACTTACACTGGCTAACTGATGGAGGTTGGGCTGGTATGTTTCAAAGATTCCTATAAGCTTTTCATCATTGAAATTTACAACCTCTGATGGCATTAATCGGAGGCTATGTCACGCTGGCCTGACTCAGGTTATGACGGCAATTACTTCAGTTCAGCTTAGACTGGGTCAAACATTTCTCAGCTTGATCTCTAGAAAGGCTCATAAATTGACACTATCAGAGGGTTGAGATCAAATTAGGCTCATTTTTGTCATTTCAATCATGTATGTGTGAGCAAAGCTTTGTCAAGAATTCTATTAAAACTAAATCCTCATGTAAATCAAAATAGGTTTGCACTTACACTAACAAAAAATAACATATACTAGTGCAATGAACCCCTCCTGCTGTCCAAACCTGATACTGGGGATCCTGCGTGAGATGACTCAGCTCTCTAAATTCCAGCTGAATACTTGTGACTTCAGCAAGGGTGCTATCTGATGTCCATCTTGGTGGATGTGCCGTTCCCTTCCCAATGTTAACATCTGAGAAAGGGATCTTCGATGGTGTCTTAAAGGCTGGCATTAATCTGGACCCAAGGTCTTTCTATAAGTGGGGAGGAGAATAAAAAAGAAATGTACTACAAACATATGAGCTGTATAAATATCTGACAATCTTATTCTAAATATGTGTATGATGCATGATATATTGGAATAAAAAGGACAGAAAGACAACTCACGGCTTTCTCCAAGAAGATCGGGTCACCTGTTAGATGGTAAGTGCTTAACAGTCCCCCAAGAACACGGATAGTTGTCTCAAAAAGATTCACGTCCACATTCTTGTTGAATGACAGCTCTTTCTCAACCCAGTCCCTTGCTTCTGCAAATTCTGGGTCAAGAGAAGTAAATTACAACCCTCTGGGTCAGGGTAAGAGATGAAAGAAAAGAATTACATCTGTTCAATGTTTTGCCTCAAGTGGTCGTATAACAATCTGTAGCGTGAGAGTGAGGCTCTCATTTTTTGTAAGAACTACTTACATTTAGAATAAACAGTTTTATAGATGTAACCCAAATAATTTCTTGTTTCTTCTTCCCTATATAGAACAATTAAATATGGATGTTTTGTATATGCTAGGAGCAGGTACAGTGGTTACTGATGCAAGTGATTAAAACTTCTAACCCAGTAGTCAGTTTATTTATTTTCAACTTAAAGATAAACCAACCAAGACTCTGCACTGGTCATTAGTAGAAATACGACTGTAAAATGTCCTGTAAAATTAACACCAGAACTCCAAGAGCTACAAATACATTTTAGTTATATAAGCCATAGGTAGATATCTAGGCATCACATTAGTAAAGTCCTAAGTTATGCATTTGCAGTATTTACCTTCTTTTAGGCCCAAAATCCACATGGTGTCCAAAGCGTCAATTAAAGTCAAACCCAGTCCAAACCATTCACCAAAAGACTTTGAGATGGGCTTGAGCTCATCATGACCCCAGGCGTAGTCCTTATATCCTTTCCATGCATGTCTGAAGGCATCACGCACGGCCTCCAATCTGTCTGTTACCTCAGGTGAAGCTATAAACATAGGTGCACAGATGACCGAGTACCAACTCTGTAAACTCAGGTAGATTTATTCTACATCTACTAATAATTCACAGTTGAAGGAAAATTCTGCACCATTAATATCTTTAAGCAAAGCGCAATTGATCAAATTTTAAACTACAGCTTTACTAAAAAAAACTGTTGTGTGGTGCACCAACTTCAAACTGAACAACCTGAAAGAACTTTTATATATTATGCTGCTGTGACATTTTTCACTTAATGTACCATTTATGAAAAATAATAACCTTCTAGTGGGGCAAAGGCAGTGGGTTTGGCCGGGTTGGTGGGTCCAAGGGCTGCTGCAGGTTCTTTCTCAATGGCTGAGGGCGGAGCCTCTGTAACCTGATCAGCTTCTATTACTGTTCCTCTCCAGCTGTAGGGTTGAAGCAGAAATCTCATTTACATCCTAATGACTTCTGTCAACTTCTTTGAAATTTGCACTACATGAGCAGCCACCACATGGATAACAGGTGGAATTTGGTTGCCTGCAATGCTCTACAAAATGCTTTTCCGAAGAGTTCAAAATGCCAATGAACAAGGAACAAAGTGAAAAAAAGATCACCTAACAATTTTCTTCTCTTTGTCCTCCTCTTCTTCATCTTGAACTTTTTGGGCTTGCTTTTCTCCACCAATTGTATCTGACATATTTCCATCTTTTTGTAGGCTCGGAGGACCTCTTCTGTTTAAAATTGGTTTTCTCTGTAGTTAGAAACATGGGGACAATATGACCATCTCTTAAAAAAATCCATCTTGAACCATAGTTGTGTCATATAAGTTAGAACAGTGTAAAATAGCAGAATAAACATATATTCAAATCGTTTTAATTCTATATCAAACTTGGAAGTAGATTGATAGTTTTTGCTCTGGAACAGTTTTATATATTTCAACTCAAGTGAAAGTAGCTCTACAAAATATTTATGTTGTGCGGGAAAAAAAGTAACCAGACTTTAAATTACCTGCTTTTTATGTGGAATTTATAACGTATGGTAATAGAACAGACATCAGTATTGAAGAAATTCCAATTGCTCACAACTTGAGGGGTTCATTTATCCTTTTGCATTACCCACTTTGCCCCTGGGGCCAAAAGTCTATCTCTCTCTGGCACCACCATGTCTGAAAGATTATAACAAAGATTGCCACAGTCTACAAGACTAACCTTTATTGGAGGTTTGGCCAAAACTGGAAATTCTGGTACTCTGGGCTCTGCGATAGCATCTGGACCCTGAGCTTGCTCCAGATGTGGCCCTACCACAGGAGCTGGAGCTTTACCTCCAGCTGTGTTCAACACAGGCTTCAGGCCTCTATCATTCAGCTCCAGCCATTCCTCCTTGTCAGACAATCCTGGAAAATGTTCACAGTAAACCACATAATGACAGAAGGAAACCATCAATACTATATGGTTCTCAATATTTTTATGATAACATAGAATCACATGCAAAGCAAGAAAAAAAGTTTTATTCAAAGTCATCTGATTGTGATCTTACAGTTTGGCTGTGAGATCACAATCTCCTGATTTATGGATATAAAGTAAAATCTCTTCCAAAAAAGGCTAAAGCATTTACTTTTATGCTATTCTGATGGATGTGCAGTAATTCAAGACTCAAGCAACTTGTTGTAGGTTTGTTTGCAAGAAAAAAGAAGAAAGTTAATTTTGTAGGAAAATTTAAAGATTTGGAATATGAGAAATTACCACAATCAGCAACTCTTGTAGTTGCAATTTCCTTAAATTTATTATCATCATAAACTCAGAAGACAACCAATCCATATTTAAACATATTAAGAAACAACACAACAAATACTAACAGATTTACATCAGTGCCTGTGGTGAGATTAGTTTATTACTGAGAACATATTATCTACCTTGCCATTGGTCTGTGATGCTGGGATAAGAGAGCAGTCCTAATATGAGAAGCAGAGCCAACAGGAACAGGATGAGGCTTCGCTGGAGACGCGACAGCTGCTTCCATTTCTGTGGGTAGATATATAAATGAAACTACAAATAACTACACTAAGACTTATCGGAAATGCTTTGAAATATAATCACAGATGGCTGAAAGCAGATTCAAATACACTTACTGAGAAAAATCTAATAAATGGCTTCAATATTTCATTAAAAGACAATAAGTTTAAGGGAGAGTCTGATACATATTCATAGCCTTCACAAACTCAACATATCTCTCCACTCAACATGCTGCGGCAAGTAAACTGATTGAACATAAGTAAATGATCTCACAGCTATGTTGAGGGTAGGGAAAAATCAAGAACATCTCCAGAGAGAAAACTAAGGAGCAAGCTGGTAGCCTGTGTTACTAACTCTAATTAACACCTGTGCAATACCGCAAAACTACTGAGCCATCAATTGTGAGTAATGACACAAAACAGACTCAGTGTCTAAGTTTTTTTTTTACTCAAAACAAAAGAACATAATGATAGCCATATATGTGTGTTTTCTAATTTAGGTTTGGCTAATGGTTAGTTTTGATAAAGGGGCCGCAAACCGCAGACAGATGTTAAATTATTGTCTTTGAGTTCTGGTATCATATATATAAGTGTTTGCTAATTGACAAAACAACACATCAATCAAATTTCTGTATGTTTTTAATCACAATTCTGTCCTACACTGATCTTAATCTGCCAAAAAAAGAAACATAATTTTCTTTTGGGTATCAACAAAGAATTATTCAATTCAACAGACTTCTGTGAAACAGTATCAGGCTTTCACATTGCCGTAGAGGGCTTTGCTGACATGTAGTTACGCACAGCTTTGTAAAACTTCAGCCATAGCAGGTACAAGTCTTTTCTTTTACTGGACCATCTTTACAACAAAGTTATTTTCATTTTCCCTCATTCTGATGTAGATTTGCTGCCATGTTTGGATCATTGTACTGCTGCATGACCCAGTTTCAGATAAGCTTTAGCTGTCAAACAGATGGCCTAATGATTGACTTGAAAATACTTTGGCACATAGAAGGGTTAAAAAGCCTCTTATTTGTGCTGATACGCTGTCTCTGGCTTAATAAAACATGGAGCTGTGAACTCACTGCACTGCAAGACTAATACATTCAGGAGTCCTTTATTCACACCCATAAGGCTTTTTTAACAGTGACCATTATAAGCTTGGAACGTATTATGTATTCATTTGATTTTTTTGTTTATTTGATTTATTTGTCCTAATATAAAATAATTGTAAATATTTCTATTTGAACTACATGACGATCTGAATTTTTCTCAGTGGGAGATGTATTTTTTCCAAATTTATGACCAAACATCTCCACTTTGGTGTAATTTATCCTAAGTATAATGGTTCTGAAGTCTTTAGGTTTGTTCAGATGCCCCTGAACATCAGTGATAGACCCAGGCCCTTTAGAGGCATGATTGATACACTGGACTACAGAACTACTTACCCTCCAGCAGGACTGTCTCCGGTGTTTGCCATTGTTGTAGGTGTTACTGTCTTGGTCAGTAAGCGTCAGAGCAACAAAGTCCTTTCTAGGAGGTGGATACATCCTTTGATCGGCCGTCAGTCATGAACTGAGAGGTAAAATGGTAAAAAAGTTTAAATAACACAGCATCAAAAGCAAATGGAAATGGAAAAGTGTCATGTGTGGTGCTACCCAATGTCATCTTAAATCGATAAAATGCACAGTTTATCTACAAAAGATTACAAAATGTATTTATGGAATAGTTGAATGCATATTCATATTGCATTTATTTCTGATGTTTTTTTACCCAACCCTAAATAACCGTATTTTATCTTAACTTATTGAGTACATACACAAAACAGGTTTCACGAGCAATATCGATTGCCCTCTTGAAAACATACCCTCGTTTAATCCAAATGCAGCTACATACCTACAGGTCATGAATTCTTTATCACAGATTATATAAAGGAGCTGAACAAGGACATATAAAAACTTTGAAAACATTTTATAAGGTAATAGCGAAAATGTAGCTATCTAAAAATAAAACGTGAGGGTGCTCGTGCGCACAAAAAGCTAACATCACAGTTGTCGTCCGGAAAGTAGTTAAGCTAGCAAGGCAATTTTTGCTGCACCTCACCCTTGTGTCACATAAAAACAGTTTAAAAAACACAACGTACAAAATACAACAGTTCAAACGTCCAGCTTCCTTCTCCTCACCTCTGTGCCTTGTTGGCTGCCTCACAACAACAGTACTCTCCTGAAACCAAAACAGCTGTTAGCAACAAATGCTAACTTTCTTCGAGTCTTTCCAGAATGAGGTGAGAGGAGAGGCGTATACCAACGTCGTTTGTCCTACGGCCACACAAAACGACCACCTGCTACATGTGATATCCTAGTAATTGAAAAGAAATCAATACAACTAAAGTTACAGAATGGAAAACTAGGAACAAATGCGGAAAAGAGTGCAATCAAGAGATGACGCCGAGAGTCACGTGACGTGTTCATGTGCTCTGAGAATTTGAACGTTAACCCGTTTGGAGCTGGCAAAAATTGCAGAGTATCCCTTCGAATTAAATTAAATATATTGAATTTCGGTTATTTTTAGTTAGATTCGAGCTACTACAATAAACTCAATGCATTTTCAAAATAAATTATTTCCCACAGAAATGACCTTATCTTAGACTAATTTGCGAATAATTACTACACCGTAAAAAACTGGTAACAATTAAGCGTTTGCGCGTACAATATTCCCTCCTGCTGGTGATTTCATTGTACAGAAACGGTAGGTACTAGAGAGTTGTCATTAGCTCGTGAGAGCAATTTGAAAGTCTATTTAGAAATACTTGCTTTTAATTTTAGGATGAAAAGCTCATTTCAGTGTCTCTGTATCAGTGTACTCACATCAGATACTGAAATGAGCTTCATAAGTACAGTTACCAGTAACTGGTTTACAGTAAGCAGGGCTTTAGTTTCCTCGAGTTGTCTAAAAACCTAATTTAAGTGTTCTTGGTGCATACTATACCCCTGTGTTAGTGATACTGGAAACGAGTATGTCCTCTGCCACAACAACATCCCCTTTCACAATTTCTCAAATAACAAGCAAAGTAAAAGCCAATTGTCGAAATCATGAGGTGACTTTGAAACATTTGGTTTTAGGACCGGTACAAATATTGAGTCCATAGACTAAAGACATTCTGCCTTTTAATGACATCTGGAAAATAAAGCAGAAAATATCTGAAAGCTGAAAATCACAGTTTTTAAGAGTTTTCCTCTCTTTGTCCTTACGAAAAAGCTCTAAGACTCTGTCTTTGTCAATACTAAAATGGTTTAATGCAAAACTGGGAACAGAATTGATAAAACCATACACCTTCTCACTGAAATGGATATCCAAACGATTATTACAAACATTTAGTTAATTAGCAAGCTCCATGTTGGTTTGGCCAAGGAGATTGCACATTTCTTGCGTCTTTCTTCAGTCCTTCACTCCTTTCCATGAACGGTGTGAGCTGCCAGTTCCAAGTAAAACCTCTTGTTAAAGTTCAGTTTAGGCAACTGCACGTCCAGTTGCCTAAACCGAACTTAATGGCCAAGTTGAGTTCCCTATAAGAATACTTATTCCCCTAATTGAAACTGACATTCCTTTGAATAATGACCTCCTTGACCGATTTAGTCATCCAAGGCTTAGTATTTTAATAAAAGGCCATGTATATTTCAGGAATGGTAATTTCTTAACAAAATGAAACATAAACACGCATCGTATCCGTCAGCTCATCCAAATCCAAGAAGTTTTTCCTAAAATCATCCCAATCTGTACAATACACTCCTCTGACAAGATAGGAACAAATCTTCGTTCCAGCTTCCGTCTCTTCAGGACCGGTTTGTAATCGGAACAAGGGAATGCTCCTGAAATGCTCAAAGGTGCTCTGCAAAATAATTTATATCCCCATTAATGGTGCTAAAACAAATATTCAAACACCTGGAATAATGAGTTGGGGCAGTGATATATTGATAAAAATTGGCTGTCTTACATTGATTAAAATTGCGAGTTACCAAAACCGTTGTACCGACGCAGGGTTGCCATCTCAGCATTTGACTTGGGGTGATGGTAAACAAGGCACAGTTTCTATTTACAATAGTTAAAAACACAGAAACTATGTTTTTACACGGCCACTGCGTCGCCGTGCCATAAACACAGTTTGACAGATTCCAATGAATTTTCACAATAAAAAAAAGTGATATGTTAGTCAAGCATCCAACTTCCATCTGCTGCCTGATAACAGGGCACATCTAATCTTTGTAACCTGATAAGATGTTGAAAGCTTTCTGAGATTTTCAGAATCACTGCACTAGAAGTATTGTGGCCAGAATCTTACTGTGAACTTTGACTTTCATATGTAATTGTCTTTTGACCACTATTTCTTTTAAATGCATTGCGTGTTTGGCTATATACATACACTATATTGCCAAAAGTATTTGCTCACCTGCCTTGACTCACATATGAGCTTAAGTGACATCCCGTTCCTAATCCATAGGGTTCAATATGACGTCGGTCCACCCTTTGCAGCTAGAACAGCTTCAACTCTTCTGGGAAGGCTGTCCACAAGGTTTAGGAGTGTGTTTATGGGAATTTTTGACCATTCTTCCAGAAGCGCATTTGTGAGGTCGCACACTGATGTTGGACGAGAAGGCCTGGCTCTCAGTCTCCGCTCTAATTCATCCCAAAGGTGTTCTATCGGGTTGAGGTCAGGACTCTGTGCAGGCCAGTCAAGTTCATCCACACCAGACTCTGTCATCCATGTCTTTATGGACCTTGCTTTGTGCACTGGTGCACAGTCATGTTGGAAGAGGAAGGGGCCAGCTCCAAACTGTTCCCACAAAGTTGGGAGCATGGAATTGTCCAAAATGTCTTGGTATGCTGAAGCATTCAAAGTTCCTTTCACTGGAACTAAGGGGCCAAGCCCAGCTCCTGAAAAACAACCCCACACCATAATCCCCCCTCCACCAAACTTTACACTTGGCACAATGCAGTCAGACAAGTACCGTTCTCCTGGCAACCGCCAAACCCAGACCCGTCCATCAGATTGCCAGATGGAGAAGCGCGATTCGTCACTCCAGAGAACGCGTCTCCACTGCTCTAGAGTCCAGTGGCGGCGTGCTTTACACCACCGCATCCGACGCTTTGCATTGCACTTGGTGATGTATGGCTTGGATGCAGCTGCTCGACCATGGAAACCCATTCCATGAAGCTCTCTGCGCACTGTTCTTGAGCTAATCTGAAGGCCACATGAAGTTTGGAGGTCTGTAGTGATTGACTCTGCAGAAAGTTGGCGACCTCTTCGCACTATGCGCGTCAGCATCCGCTGACCCCGCTCCGTCAGTTTACGTGGCCTACCACTTCGTGGCTGAGTTGCTGTCGTTCCCAAACACTTCCATTTTCTTATAATACAGCTGACAGTTGACTGTGGAATATTTAGGAGCGAGGAAATTTCACGACTGGATTTGTTGCACAGGTGGCATCCTATCACAGTTCCACGCTGGAATTCACTGAGCTCCTGAGAGCGACCCATTCTTTCACAAATGTTTGTAAAAACAGTCTGCATGCCTAGGTGCTTGAATTTATACACCTGTGGCCATGGAAGTGATTGGAACACCTGATTCCGATAATTTGGATGGGTGAGCAAATACTTTTGGCAATATAGTGTATATATAAACAGTATGTATGTATTTCTTTATCTATATATATATATATATTTGGCTGAATTTCCCCTTGGGGATCCATATAGTATCTATCTATCTATGTATAGTTAAATTCCATACATCTGCTGTCCTCATTTTTTAGCTTTACCTACAAAATAACATTTTTGAGGCTCTTGAATAATAAAATGGGGTAAATAAAAATGTAAAAGGCTTTGGGCGATAACTTGCACAGATGTCAAATTCAACAGAAAAAAATGAAATGATAGAACACAATGAGAGACGATTTGGTGATGTATTTTTAATCATTGGAACACAATCGTTTGAACAAACTACTGAAGAATCCCACAAGACAGATGTCTAGCATGTAATGTAATATTTTAAGTGTTTTTTTGTCACATAGCAAACAAAGTTACAATGATCAGTCTCAGCCAGCTAAGGCAATCATATGAATTGTTTGGAAGAAAAGAGAAATACTTAACATTGAACACCAAGTTAGAATTTCAGACTTTGATGGTTAAGATTCCATCAAAGTTTTTTTTTTAATCTTACAGATCTAGCTGTCCTATTTTACTGTGTTATAGCAATGTCGTGCCTCAGTCCAATTGTTATTTTTCTAACTCAAATGATGTTTTTGTGATTCAAGCCAGAGTTACAGTTTTAGCTGAGCTGCAAACTCCCTGAGATCTTACTTGTGCATCCCCTGCAGACTGTACACCACTCAGCTTATCTCTCACTGCTAAGCAACTAAAGGACAAAACCACCAAACTGCTGAGCAGCAACAATGTTTGCCTCTCTCAAGCACTTCTTGGATTGAATGAAGCGGAAATTCAGGTTGACGGTATTTGCTGAGAGCTTAATGGGCAGTAACAAGCACCTTTTTTCACCAGGGGGCAAAAGGGCTCTGCAGTCTATTCTCGGACTGCCGTCAAGCTGATGCATGAGTTTCATAGTGTAGTAAGACAAAACATAATGTTTTTGGAGGAAATTTGTCTATGTGTTCTGGCCTTATCAGCTTCAGCCTTTGGTTTATATAATTGTTTCACTTGCCGCATTGTCTTGGAATGCAACATGTCTTCTTTACACATTAATAATTTAATAGCACCCCTATAGCGCTGATGTGAAGGGGACAGTGTGTATTCAGTTTTGTAAGGACTGAAAGTTTTTTATGAAATTCTACAGTAACAAAATGCATTGAGAAGAGGAAAAGGTGTATTTAAGTCCACAGCAATCTACCCCCAACTGAAAAGTTGTTTTAAATCTGTTCAAATTCTAACTACATTTTTAAATCTTTTTATATAGAGAGACGTATATTAGTTTTTAGTAAACTAATTAGAGTTACTGAGTTTAAAGTAGTTAATAATCATCCACTGTTATTGTTGTACAACTTTGAAGGACCATTATTCCAATGAAAGTTTAATGTCAAGTCTAGGCAAATACAAATGAAAGCTGTTAAAAGTTCATTTTTCATATTTTTCATTATTTGATTTGGTGATATATATGTCTGGGGAAATACTTAAAATGTGGGTATTATGTTGATCAATCTCAACCAAGGTATTGACTTGGAAATGAAACCTGTTCCTGTGCAAACTGTGAATTATTTTCTTTTAAATGAATAAAAACTAAAAAAGATAATTGCCATTTAAGCAATTTTCTTTCTATCTGATGAGTGGCAGTCTGACTCTGCACGATAATGGAGCTCCAAAGCTAAGCTCTGTTTAACCTGTCTTATGGTAATGATATGCACCATGGATTTTTGAGAGTAATTATTGTCTAAATCATAAAATGGCATGGTTGTCCACAACTTGATGATGACAGATCTCAGAAGAGATACGCAGTTCGAGCTGAGATGTTCAATAAACCACCCCCTATGAACTTCGCTGTACAGACTTGGCTGTATGGAAAGCTTTAAGTATCCATGGCATTTTCAACAAAACATGACACAGCAATTTAACTTAACTGATCAGTGTGTGAATAATGCCACACATTCCCTCCAACATTTATGAAGCTTTGTTTAAAAAACTGTACAACATCCTTTGGCAATAAGTGCCTGTCTTTGTTATCGCTTGTGTTTTATACCTGAGATGTTCAGAGTAAACAAAACATTAAATTACCGGTATATGAAACTATATTAACTAAAAAGTTAGATAACTATCAGCACCAATTTCATGTAAGATAATGAAAGTTCCTTTTCTGTTGAATTTCCAATCAATGTGTGTAAGATTAAACTTGAACAGCATCTGAATTAAAAGTGACATGTCTAGGTTCACTTGCAATTAGTGTGCTAACCTATCAAATATATGGCCATTGGAAATACACAAAACTGTGTCCCCAAGAACACATTAGGAGGTCATTAAGGATAATCAATCATTAAAATGCAAAATAAACAGGTTATAACAATATCTAAATACACAAAACATTCATACAGTTCAAAATATGGTATGTAAAGGATAAAAACATACATATTTAAATTATTTCGTACAAGATAAATGTCTCTGTAAACAAAATGGACTTGAGAGATCTACTGCCCCAATAACAAGAGGAATGAGAAGTAAAATCTTCAGAGACTGGAAGAGTTCGAGTTGTCCTCTTGTCCATGTCTAAAATAAAACAGTTTTACTCCAGAATGTATTAGTCCTTTGGGACAGGGCAGCTTTCTTTCATCTCTAGCTAAAACATACAGGTCCAACTGTGAAACTGAACTGGTGTGTGAAGTTTCCGCCTCCCATCAGTGCCACATCTCTGAGAGGAAGCAGCTGGAGGTCCTCGAATTCGAGCACTGATTCCCGAGGCCTAGAAGAAGTCTCCTCTCCAGGCTGACATGGATAAATATAGATTAGAGAACATTCATTCACATTAAGTCATGTTGTCAGAGCACAAATGAGAGAGCAAGAAGAATATGTTCTTATGTGAAAAATAATGTGAAAAATAATTTTTAAACTCCTTATCTTTAAACACTTGTGTGAAATATAGTATATATATATATATATATATATAT